GGCTGGGGATTTAGCTCAGTGGCCCTGCGCCTGCTTCGAAAGTGCAAGGTCCTGGGCCGGGGATTTAGCTCAGTGGTTTCGCCGCCTGCTGCGCAAGCGCAAGAACCCGAGTTCGATCCCCGGTACCAAAAAAAAAAAAAAAAAAAGAAAAAAAGAAAGAAAGAAAGTGCAAGGTCCTGAGTTCGATCTCTGATACCAAAAAAACCAAAACAAAACTGTTCCTTGCTGATCAAGGTGGCAAGTTAGAGGCCAGCCTGGGCAACCATAGCAAGAGCTTGCCTGAAAGCCAAACAAACCAATCAAACAAAGAAAACGATTTGCTGAGAGTTTATTAAGGCTCTCTTTGCCGGGGATTTAGCTCAGTGGTTCCGGCGCCTGCTGCGCAAGTGCAAAGTCCCGAGTTCCATCCCCAGCACCAAAAAAAAGACTCTCTTCTAGGCCAGTGAAACTTACTGTTACTCTCAGGATGATTTAAATTCTTTGAGGTTTCTGCTGGCCCTGGGTTCCTCTATTATGCTCTCAACTTTAAACTTTTTCCCTTTGTCAATGAACCCTCCTTGAAACATCGTATTTCAAGTATCATTTGCTTCCTGTTCGAATCCTGACTGATGTATGGGATCTACGTGACTCTGCACTTGAACACACGTGCAGATGGCTAGCTCAGCCACATACCCCTTTCATAGGCCAGAGTGGCTGCTGCTCAGCCAGGTTGCACTTCCCAGACACCTTTGCGTCAGGACAACTGCACTATGAGTGTTGGGCAGAAGCAATGCCCGGCTTGGCCGGCAACATTTCCTGTTTGATCCTGGTGCTCTCTCTGCCCTTGGTTGACCGCATCTGAGCCTCCACAGACGGCAATCTGGAGTCATTTTGTGTGGTAAATGTCTGGATTCCTTTCAAAAATAATGACTTCAAAAAAACCCCAACTTTATTTTGGAATAATTTTAGACAGCAGAAAAGTTACAAAGTACAAAGAGTTCCTAGGTACTCCCTACTCCTTTTCGATTCCCCCTAACCTTAAATTACTGTGGAGTCCAGTATCAATACGTTAATAACTACACTCCAGACTTTGTTCACATTCCACCAGTTTTTCCATTAATGTCTCTTTTCTCTTCTGGGATCTAATCCAAGATACCACATCATATTTTAGTTGTCTCCTCAGCCCCTTCTGACCTGTGGGAGTGTCTCAGTCGTTACTTTTTCATGGTCTTGAGTACTATTCCGTTATTTTGTAGAAATCCAGAATAATTTTTCAATCACCAGATATAAAATAAGATTATAGGGATGGGCATGGTGGTGCGTGCCTGTACTCCCAGCACTTGGCAGGCTGAGGCAGGAGGATTACCATGAGTTCGGGACCAGCCTGGGCTACAAAGGGAGTTCAAGGATAGCCTGAATTACATAATTAGACCCTGTCTCAAAAAAAAAATAAATAAATAAATAAATAGGCGGAAAGGGTGAGATTTATAACCAAGCAGTCTGAGTCCAGAGTCTATGTTATTATTTCCACACTGCATAGAAGAAAACAGGCTCCAGGGGCAGACTGCTCCCAGAGGTGGGGTGTGGACACCGGCGACAGTTTCTGCCCCATGCCTGCCCTAAATTACTGCAGGTAAAGAAGGGGCGGGGGTGGGGCGACATCGCCCAGGCCAGAGGTTTAAGGACCGGTCCAACTGGGAGAGTAGAGGTGAGAACGGAAGTCAGCTCTGGCAACAGGAGCACGGGGCGATTTATGGCTCTTAAATGTGCCCGGATCTCGTGGCTTCTACTGGGCCGCACCGCATTTTCTTTTCACTGTAATGAACGGCGACCTTTACTTACTACCAAAGGACTTCCGGCCTGCCACTTTCTTTTTTTGTTTTGTTTTGGTACCGGGGATCGAATTTGGGTCCTTGCGCTTGGGCAGTAGGCGGCGAAACCATTTAGCTCAGTGGTTCCGCTGCCGGCCTGCCACTTTCTTCTCTCCTGACCGCAGTGTCTGGGCCCACTCCTCAACTGACCTCGGGCCAGAGGGAGCTGAGCTCCCTGCTGGAGAGATTGGGGTGTCATGAGCCTAGAGCCATCTGGGGAATTTCCAGGTGGATTGCGCTCTGATCCCTGAATGTTTCCTTTTTTTTTTTTCTTCCTCTTCAGTACTGAGGATTGAAATTAGGCCCTTCCCTCTGAGCTACATTCCCTGGCCCTTTTTTTTTAGGTACTGGAGATCGAACTCAGGTCCTTGCGCTTTCGCAGCAGGCGGCGAAACCACTGAGCTAAATAAATCCCCGGCCCCGTCTGCCCCTTTTTTAATTTTTTGAATTTTGAGACAGGGTCTTGCTAAATTGCCCAGGCTGTACTCCAACTTGAGATCCTCCTGTCTCAGCTTCCTGGACTGCTCAGATTACAGGCGTGAACCAACATGCCAGGCTTGAAATACTTCTTTATTGGGATTTATGTGGAGGAGCCTGAGGCCATTTACAGCCTGCCTGGGATTTATTTTAGTCATTGCTGCACGTTGCTTCTTGCTGTCAGTGATCTTAGATCTTAAACAAAAGCACAAATTATTCCTACAGATTAAAGCAATAGGGTAAAGCAGCAGGTTTTCCAAACAAGGCATGGGTTTTGAATACATTACTCATTTTCCCTTATGCAAACACACAGATACCTTTTCAGAAAAGAATGCAATGCCCTTTGGAATAATTTTCTTAAAACTCTGGCATAAATTCCTAAGAAAGACATTTCCAATGTCACTTTGTTCTTTAAAGTGAAATTCAGCTCACAGACCATAAAAGTTACCTTTTTAAAGTCTGTAACTCAGTGGGTTTCAGTATCTCACAAAATTGTGTGACCACCACATTTTCCATTACCCCAAAAGAAGTCACGTGCTGCTGCGCATGCTGGTGCGCGTCTGTAATCCCAGCACTCAGAAAGCTGAGGCAGGAGCATCACTACAAGTTTGAGGCCAGCCTGGGCTACATAGTGAGTTCAAGGCCAGTCTAAACTGGAGAATGAGACCCTGCCTCAAAAAACAAAATAAAAAAGAGAGAGAAAAGGAAAGAGTATGTTAGACTTCCATAAGCTTTGGCTTCCAAATAAACACATTTAAAATGACTGATGTTGACTAGCAAATCCCCATATGCCCTGGGCTCTGCTTTCTTTGGCGACCAAGTCACTTCCTCTCTCGTTTCCTACTGGTTAGGACTGGTTCATCATGGGTTCTGATTCCTAGTCTGAATCCTACAAAGTAGAGGTGGTTATTTCTCTAAGAGTAATTTAGATACCCAGGCATTGACCTTGCCACCCTCCTGCAGACATAACTTTCTTTTTCTCCCAGATATGGGGCCTGTGGTGCTTGCTTATGGATTTATTTAAATAAAGTACAGTTTTTTCTATATTTTTAATGCCTAAATTGTGGAAGAAGATCAAGGAATAATAAAGTTAGCTCATTTTCTCTTTCTATCCATTTGATCAGGTCTATAAACTGAAGTCAATAACTCCAACCCAAAAAGTTACTAGAAAAACATAATCCTGGGGTAAGCAGCATCTCTGCTGGCATTGTCATTAAAATAAGAAGCCTTGGGCCGGGGGATTTAGCTTAGTGGTTCCGGTGCCTGCCTTGCAAGTGTAAGGTCCCAAGTTCGATACTTGGTACCAAAAAAAAAAAAGAAGCCTTGCTGGGCAAGGTACCACAAGCCTATAATCCCAGCACTCGGGAGGCTGAGGCAGGAGGATTGTTGCAAGTTCAAGACCAGCCTGGGCTGCATAGTGAGTTCAAGGCCAGGCTGAACTACATAATGAGACCCTGTCTCACAAGAAGAATATTTGTCATTTGGGATGGGGACATAGCTCAGCAGTGCAGCGCCTACCTGGCAAGTACAACGTCCTGAGTTTGAGCCCCAGTACTGGAAAAAAAAAAAAGGGCCCGGGGATTTAGCTCAGTGGCTCTGCCACCTGCCTTGTGAGCTCAAGTTCCCGCGTTCAATCCCCAGTACCAAAAACAGAAAAAAACCTAAAAATTCATAAATACATAAAATAAAAAATAAATAAAAATTTACAAAATTATTCACTTTACTGATGCTTTGAGAACTACAATTCAATAATATGGGATGGAGGGCCTGGCAAAATAGGGCGTCCTACTTCAAATGTGGAGGGCTGGAGCCCGGCCATTGGTAATGGTGGCTTCTAACAGTTACTGAGCAGGGTAGTGGTGTTGTCCTCAGTGTCTGTGTCTTAGGAGGAAATCCGGCCGTAGTGGGTAGAAATGGAGAAAGATATGGAAAATGAGAAAATTAGTTTATGGCAAAGGTCCAGACAAGGGATGCTGATGGGGGTTGCTGTGGAAGTGGGGAAACCAGGATCCATTCAAGAGGGGTGAAGAGAATCAATTGTAGAAGCACTAATATTTGGTACTGTGTACAGGAGGGAGAGGAAGGATTCAGATAGGACTGTGTTTTCTGGCCCGATCGTGGGAAGATGCAGAAGCCCAGGATTGCAGGTGTGTGAGGCATGGCAGTTAGGCCGGTCTGTCTAACACGTCTGTGGCTGCCCGCGCAGCGCTATGCAGCTGGACAGTTAGGTCGGGGGAATTTCTTCCTATAAAGGAAAGGAAGACTCTTGTAATGGGAACAGCTCATTTTTGTAGTGCTCAGCCACTAGTGCCCCAAACCCTGAGGTAGTTATTACGTCGCCAGCAGTAAAGGTTGATTATAGCCCCTGACTGCTTACTGTGTGGAAGGGCTTGATTCCTGCAGCTTCACAGGCAAAATGATATTCATTGTGATTAATTATCGTGTGTCTCAATGCAAAGACTAGATTATTTACTGTGTTTCTCCAGGGTGCCAGAAAGGTTTCTTTCTGGAGCCTTCAAGGCAAAGGAATTGGGAGGCAACCTGGGCAGTAGCAGGCCAGCCTCGAGCTGCCACTAGCCCCGTGGGAGAGCCCACCGTCCTTCCTACCTCCTTGACCCCGCCCCCCCCGCGCCGGGGCGGAGCCATCAGAGACCCCGCCCCGCCGGCCCAGCCCCTCCCGCTGCTTTGGCCGCCGCGCGTGCGCGCCTGCGTTGGCCCAAGACGTGGAGCAGCCATGATGGTGGGTGTTCTCAGCAGCGCCGAGCCCAGGGCGCGCAGCGGGGGTGGCGGGCGCAGGGCGGACGCGGGGACCGCGCGGCCGGGCACTAATGTCTCCCTTTGTATCTCCTCTATTCCATCCTCTCCCCCGGCGCGCTCCGCCCGCCCATCAGGAAGGCCTGGACGATGGCCCCGACTTCCTCTCGGAGGAAGACCGAGGAGTAAGTTCTGTCTCCTCTCTTGCGGGACCCTCCCTTCCCTGTGTCACCGGCCCCGGGTGTGGTATGAGGAGGGGGCTCCAGCCGCGCGCACTCTTTCCTGGTCGTCCTTCTTTGGTTTCTTCGCTGCATCGGCCCCGCCCTCCTGCAGCGCTTCCTCCCAAGGGGCAGCTCCGCTCTCGGTTTCCCGCGGCCACTCTTGTCCCCAGCTCCGCATGAGATCCTCCGGTGACCTTCTTTCTCCGGGGTTGGGTGCAGGTGGAGAGGTGGCGGTGGAGGCCGGAGCTGGAGCGCTCCCTCTTGCCACTTTGGGCCGAGAAAACCCATCCTCAGTCGGCACCCTCGGTTTTTGCCCTCTGGAACCCGCTCCTCCCACCCTTCTCTCTCTCTGTCTCTCTCTCTCTCTCTCCTCTCTCTCTCTCTCGCATATAGCACGGGCTGCTGCTGCTTTTTTTTTTTTTTTGAGACAAGGTCTCACTGTAGTTCAGGCTGTCCTTGAACTCACTGTGTTGCCCAGGCTGCCCTCCAACTCGAGGGACTCAGCTTCCTGCCTCAGCCTCCCAAAGTGCTGGGATTACAGGCGTTCGCCACCACTTCCGGCAGGCTTATTCTTTTTTTTCTTTTCCTGGTACCAGCGATCGAACTCAGGACCTTGGGCTTTCGAGGCAGACGAGGTGCCATTGAGTTAAATCCCAGGCTCCGGCCTTATTCTTAGTTAACCCTTTTGCAAGGATTTTTAGTCACCCGTCTTAACTGTTCTTCAGTGACCTTTGCCAGATTTTGCAAAATGCTGGTGGACCATGGTGTTTTTACTTTTTTTTTTTTTTCAGACGGGATCTCTACGTAGTTCAGGTTGGTCTTGAACTCACTATGGAGCCCAGACTGGCCTTGAACTCGGCAATTCTGTATCAGCATCCTGAGTTCTGGGATTACAGGCACGTGCCACCATGCCTGGCTACTTTTTCTAACAAAAAAAAGATCTTTTGCAAGGTTCCCTTGGTGTCCCCCTCCCAGCTTTACTGAATTATGACTGATAGATGATAATTGTACATATTTGAGATACACAGCATGATATTTTGATACATGTATACATTGTGAAATGGTTATCACTATCAAGCTAGTGAACCTAATTTAACCAGTTACCCCTCATCCTTCTGAAACCTCAGTAGAGATCAGGTGTCTATTGTTTTTTCTCTCAGCACTGGGGATGGAACTCAGGACCTTGCATTTTCGAGGCAGGCACAGTGGCACTGACCTAAATCCCTGGCCCCAGGTGTATGTTGTTATACCTACCATACTGTACATTAGGTCTCCCTCTCCAGAACTTGTCTTACAGCAGTCTGTTCCCTTTGAGCAGAGTCTCCCCTTTACCCTCCTCCTGGGCGCCCACTCTTGCCCCCTGGTAACCATCCCATCCTGCCTTAGTGTCTAGAGTCTTCAAGGCTCCAGTTTCTCCCACCTCTCCCCCACCCCGTTGGCCTTGGGCAAGGGTGGTAATGTGTGCGCACAGTGGCTTGTACAAGTGAGCACTTGAAAAATATTGATAGATGATAACTGCCTCTCCCTGGGAGTTTTGTTTCCCATTTTGGTTTTACTGTACCTATCCGTCTTAGATAACTCGAGAGCTGAAACCTGTTAGTGGATTTTGGTGGGTGATTTGTGTGTGTGTGTGGTGCTGGGGATTGAACTCGGGTTGTCACACATGCTAGACAAGTACTCTCCCACTGAGCTACATCCTCAGTCCTAATAAAACTTTTATAGAATATTTTTGCTGTTTGCAGTAAGAGGTGAAGCCATATTAACTGATTACCTTTATCAAGCTTTCAAATAGTAGGAAAGATGCAGAGTGCATCATTACTTTCTGGATAATGCAAAAGTATGGATTTGTAGTTTGTAAAATTTAATTTCCAGTGTGTTATGACAAAATGGGTGTGTGTAAATGTGTATTATGTATTTTCTGGAATAAGGCAGCAGAATTAGGTGAACATTTACAAAGTACATATTGGATTTTAAAGTAAGGAAACCAGCAAGTTTTTTTTAATGAAAAGCAATAGATTATAACAGATTTTTCTAAGATAAAGAATATAGTTTTATTTAAATAACAACTTTCTGTCTTTTGTTGTCTGCCAGGAAAAACAAACAGGATTGGATTTCTGGTTAAATCTAATGTACAGTAAAAGTACTAATTTTTTGAGTATTTACATTGATGATGTGAAAATTAGAATATTTTATAGTGAACAATGTGTGTGGGGGGGGTATTGGGGATTGAACCCAAGGCCTCTATACTGAACTACTTCCCTAGCCTTTTTTTTTTTTGGTTCTGGGGATTGAACTCTGGACCTTGCACCTTGCACTGAGCCTTTTTCTTTTTAGGCAAGATCTCAGAGTCACTAACTTGCCAGGGCTGTGTTTGAACTTTGAGCCTTCTGCCTCAGCTTCGTAGAGTGCTGGGATTATAGATTTACTCCACCACGTCCCACTGAATCTTTCTGTTAATGGTTTTATGCCTCTGTAAGATTTGCTAGAACTGGAAGCACTTAAGTAATGTGTCTAGAAACTTTTTTCACATATTAAAAAATTAAGGAGGAAGACAACATGCCTGACTAGGCAGTTCTTGTAGAATCTTGAAAATGAAAATTACTTTTTCTTTTCTGGTACTGAGGTTGGAACTCCGGACCTTGTGCTTGTGAGGCAGGCGGTGGCACCACTGAGCTAAATCCCCAGCCCAAAGTAACAATTTTAATAAGAAGAAAAAGTAGATTGGGGATATATATATATATATAGTTCAGTTGGTAGAGCACTTGCATAGCATGCACAAGCCCCTGGGTTCAATCCCCACCTCCTAAAATGTCATCATGAATAATGCATACAGTTGGCCTTGGTGGTGCATGCCTGTAATCCAGCACGTGGGAGTCTGAGGCTGGAGGATCTAGAGCTGGAGGCCAGCTTTGGTGGGATAGTGAGACCATGCCTCAAAAAAAAAAAAAAAAAATTGCATGTGTACATTGCTTCCTCATTTTTCTCTTATGGAATGGGGTGGATCAATAATTATGGCTGGGCATTATTGAGCACTATGTAAGCATTGTTTCACTGATATCCTCTTTTATTCCTTGAAGCCTTGGTGTCCTTTGTAGATGAGAAATTTGAATCTCTGAGAAACTGTTAGTGCTCGGAGGTTACACAAAAGTGAGGGAGAACTGGATTTGGGATTTTTTTCTTTGTTTTTTGAGACAGGGTCTTGCTGCTATACACTTTAGGCTGTCTTTGTTTTTGTTTTTGTTTTTGGTATGGGGATCAAACTTGGGACCTTGCCCTTTGGAGGCAGGTGTAGAACCGCTGCACTAAATCCCAGACCCTATCTTTGAACTCACTATGTACCCCAGGGTGGCCTTGAACTCAAGGCAATCCTCCCTCAGCCCCCAGAGTGCTTGGATTATAAACATGTGCCTACCATGGCTGGTCTTGGAGAGCTGGATTTTAAATTTTGTTTCTGACATCAGCTAGGACAGGCATTTCTCCAAGAGGCCTTGAGATTCTTGCATCAGAATCACTTCACGTGTTTGAAAAGCAAAATGATCTGTCCTTACTAAATCAGAGTCTCTTGGGGTGGGGAGGACAGATAACTGCTTTTTAAATTAGCACCCAAGAAAGCTGGGCGTGGTGGCACACTCCCACAATCTTAACATCCTCAGGCTGAGGTGGGAGGGTCACTTATAAATTGGAGGACGCTTGGGCTACATAGGGTTACCCTGTTTGAAAAAAAAACAAAAAAGAAAAAAAAAGCACCCAAGACATTTCTGTTTGGCACTGAAGTTTGATTACTGTTGCACAAAGTATTTTGCTGTTTCCTCATTTCAGGAACAAGAATATCTGGCTTGTTTAAATTTTCTTAGATTGTGTTTTTCCTGTTAGAAATGGATTGCCATGATGAGAACTTTTAAGATACTGCAGTTTTTTTTCAGCCTTTAAGAAAAGGAGTCTTGACAAAGAAAATTATAAAAGTGCATAGTTGATGGGAGTTGGAAAGGAGAAGCACAGTTTAAAAATTAACACAAGTGTACAAAGCAGAAGGCAAAGTTAAAGTCAGTGTTTTAAAATAAATCTCCTCGCCAGCCAAGTTTTCATGATATTCTGATCAAAACAGAACCTTACAATGTTAAGAAAATACTGTTTTATGAGAAACTAAAAGGCAGGTTTTAAGAATACATCTAGAAAATTACTGACCACGTTTTATTTCAGCCACACCTCTGCATAGTAAGGCTCACCCACCCCAAGGAAGGGCAGTAACATATTATTTAGTAAACAAGTGACCCCTTTGAACTGGATAGGTTTTGGTCTGATGTGCCCTAGCAGTGCATGCTGAAGGATAATTCTTAACATTTGATTTCAATTCTAAATAATATGTTTGTTTTGGAAAATTAACTTAGGTGGAGTAGCTACATCCTCTGCATTCCTAGCCAGGCTCCTCCCTTGGTGTTCTTTATCTTCATTAATGGCATCATTTCCCAGTTGTGCAAGAAACCTCTGATTCAGACATTGCCTTCATCCTCACATCAGAAAAGTCACTGACTTTTCACCTTGGTAGTGTTTACCCCATCCTCCTTTTCTGTGGCCCCAGGTAAAGTCTTTGCCACTTGGCTGGATTGTAGCAGTACCCATCAGTAGGCTATCTTTAGTCTTTCTGCTTTCTAATCCAGCCTTCGCTGTTACAGTTACATAACTGAAATGATTAAGTCATTTCACTAGTCAGACGTACTTCCTTAGTCTCTTCCCTCCTTACTCTCCACCCCCTCCCCACCTGGGATCGAACTCAGTACCTAGTGCTTGCCAGGCAGTGGGGCACCACTGAGGTATATCCTCGCCCTAGACTTTGCTCTTTTTTTTTGGTACTGGGGATTGAACTTGGATCCTTGTGCTTGCGCAGCAGGCGGCAAAACCACTGAACTAAATCTCTGGCCTGACCTTACTCTTTTTGAAGTAAGGTCCAAACTCCTTAGGCTGGC